TACGGCAATATGTGAGATTTATGTTAAGTGGCAGACATTGCACTATTTCTCGAGGGGACGAGGAGGCTTGGAAGGTGGTCCTCTGGTCCCTGGGTGTGCAGTCAGCGAGCAATAAAAATGTCATTCTGCAAAAGGAATCGAATAGTTTTTTACCCGACAGCTGCCGGGCTTTGTTAAGGCTTTTTTAAGACGAAAATAAAAAGGACAAGCGGACTTTGACCAGAAGAAGGGAACCAACCATAAATAAGTGACTAATGTTTAAATACACTTAGTGTCTAAAGATATTGAAAGGATAGCTGTATTACTTACTAATCTATTGTATTATATGTACTTAAATAGGTTTAGTATAAGGAAAGGCGGAAAATATCAATATATCCATACTATTTGATGTAAAGGTTCATATACAAATCGATAGTTTAATGTTGCAAAAGGTTTATGAGCTTTAAAACGTTCTTCTGTTTAATATACTGAATCTATTCTCTAAAATATATTGAAAGGGGTTATCACAATTTAATGATTTTTTAATGAATTAAATTATATTTTGGAATATTTTTTGTTAAATGCAATATTTTTTTATATGTCAATTTAATTAAATACTGCGATAATAATACCTTTATAGGGTATTATCATTTCAGTCAGAAGCTTGCAAAGCGGTGAAGGAATCATTTCCGACCCCATAAATCATATATATTTTGATCAGCATTAACAGGAGAATCTTTCTAGCCATCTCCGGCCAACAAAAAAATGTTCTGATTTTTTTTCGAAATTTTATAAGGGGTTCGTTACATCGTAAAAATGTTCAAAAATCGACAAAAATGTAGATTTTTTTTAAAATTTTAAATTGAGTATGCAGATTTGTTAACCTAAGAAAAATTAACATAGGACTGCTTTCCGAGTTAGAATTTTTTGACTTAGTTATGAGTTTTTGAAACTTTAATTTGTCATGAAAATCCATATTTTTCGATAGCAAAAAATCGCCGAGCACGCAAAACAACTTGTAACCTTTACGCCTCTCACAACTAAACAAAAAAGGAGATTCACTTGAAATTTGGTACAGATGTTAGGGAAGAGTGTACAAACATAACAAATATGTTACCCGAGAAATTTGAAAAGTCACCTTACTTTTTGAACACACCTCGTATATGATATTGTATTCCGATTTTCATAAAATTTTACACAAAAATCTATATAAATATACTATGGCTATTTATCAAATTCTATGAAAATCTCTTAAAAAGTGAAAAGTTATAATATTTTTCTTAAAATCGTCCTATTGTTCCTATGCAGCTATATATATGTATATATATATAGTCCACCGATTCGCCATGCTCCGACTTATATACTAGTCAAATTATATAGAAGAATAACTGGATAGTTTCATTCAAATAGCTTCCGAAACAAATCTCGCACACTGTGCATATAATTCCCAACTAGTTCTAACATCCCGGAACGAAGTGACTGCTGCTGGCCAAGTATCAGACATGTGTTGTGTTACAAAAGTTGCAAGTCATTGTTTACGAGTGTTCAAAGTTAGTAAGTGATCATACACGCATACTTACTGATCATAGATACTAACTATTCATAGTTACTTAATCTTCAGAGTTACTTACTAATCATAATTACTTAATGTTCGTTGATACTTACTGATCATACATACTTACTGGCCATAGATACTTACAGTTCAGAGTTACTTACTGCTAGCTAGCTACTTAGTGCCCATAATTAATTACTGATCATTGTTCTATAAATCGTCCGATCGTTCCAATGGCAGCTATATATATGTATATATATAGTCCACCGATTTACCATGCTCCGACTTATATACTACTAAAATTATATACAAGAATAATTTCATAGTTTCTTTCAAATAGCTTGATCTTAAATTTGTTCCAAAACAAATCTCGCACACAGGGCATATAATTCCCAACTAGTTCTAACATCCCCGGATCGAAGTGACTGCTGCCGGCCAAGTATCAGAAATGTGTTGTGTTACAAAAGTTGCAAGTCATTGTTTATTAGTGTTCAAAGTTAGTAACTGGTGATACATACTTACTGCTCAGAGTTACTTACTGATCATAGTTAATTACTGATCATAATTATTTAATTTTCGTTGATACTTACTATTCATACATACTTACTAGTCATGGATACTTACTGATCATAGGTAAAAATTTAAATTTTTTAAAATTGGCAAAAATCTAAAAAAAAAAACTAATATTAAATGGAGTATGCAGATTTATTAACCTTCAACAAACTAACACAGAACTGCTTTCCGAATCAAAATTAGTGCATTTTTGATTTAGTTATGCACTTTTTAAACTTTGGCTTTGCAAAAAAAAAGTATTATAAAAATATTGATTTTAAGGATCTATAGGAGGCTTTTATAATTTTAATCAGTGAAGGAGTCATTTCCGACCCTATAAATTATATATATTCTTGATCAGCATTAAAAACTGAGTTGATCTAGACAAGTTTTAGAGAAAAATAATTTTGACAGATTTTTTCAAAATTTTATAAGGGGTTACATCGTTAAAATTTTTAAAAATTGGCAAAAATTTGAAATTTTCATCGATTTAAATTGAGTATGCAGATTTGTTGGCCTAATAAAAACTAGCACAAAACAGCTTTCCGAATTGAATTTAATGCATTTTTGGCTTAGTTATGATATTTCAAAAATTTTAATTTACCTAAAAAATGAGCATATATTAAAATATCGATTTGATATATATAAAATATACATATTTTAAGTTTTCTTGGAATACGAAGGCCAAGAACACAATATGCTAGTATTATTATAAAAGCTTTTCCTGAATGGAATTTTTCCATTAAAATATATTTCCTTTCTTTGTTTCTAATTACAAATACAAATTTTTCATATTCTGATGCTCTGATTTCCATAGAAACCCCTTGACTGAATGAAGATTCTCCCTTTGCCTCATCATTTTCACTATTTCTTGAGTGAGTCCTTCTGCTTAAACATATTTACAGATCGCAAATCCAATAACGAAAATTGCCAGGATTTCGCTGTCTGTCTGTGACAAGCAGTTGCTTTTGTCTGAGAATCTAGAAAACGCATTTAGATAAAGTCAACTTGCTGTCTCGACAGAGAACAAGAGGCTTTTGCTCCTCGTTTATATATATATTAAGCGATTCCGATTTGTTCTTTGTTTGTTTTATGTTTTTTTTTGGGGGGGGGGGCAGAGCTCAAAGTTTCACACGCCTAAATGCAGGCAATTCATTTGATTCAGGACACAAGTTGGTCCCACTGAACTTTGCTCTTTGGGCCATTAAATAAGCCATTGCTGAAACCATTTGCCCAGCTTTTCTCTCGAATCTCTTTTTAGCGGTTTAAGGCGTAGCAGCCAGATTTTATGGCTCAAGTTTCCTGGCCGAAAAGTTGCTCTTAACTTGGCTACGCTTAAGATTTCAGCGCCTTGATCTTGAAACTCTAGTTGCAACTGCAAGATACATCGTTTTTCCAGCAAGTTTTTGTGCCAGCACAGCAAAGTCCTCTCATGGTTTCTTCTTATATGTTTTTGCTATGGTTTTTTCCATAGTTTTCTCTATAGTTTTTCTTTAGTTTTCCCCTAGTTTTTTTGCTCTTGTTTCTCTTGGTCGTTGGAGTCAGCGACTTTTGTACTTTGCATGTCCATAACTCTTGTCTATTGTTGTTGCGCGTATCTCTGGGCCGTATCTTCCTTCGCGTATCTCAGCTGGTGCACATGGTAATATTCCATAGCCAGTAAGGAGCTAGGAGCTCCTAGCTGGAAGCTCCTCCCTTTGGCTTCCCTGCTCCTGGAAAGCGTTTCGTGTCATGACAGGCATAAACTTTGGCATTTTATATGCGTCACTGGCAGGGAAAAAATGCTGGAGAAATAGGATAAAAAAGAGGAGGAGTAGAGTGTCCAGGACAGGTGTAAGCCATGTCCCCTGTGGCTGCCTATTTTCGGTGGTCTATCTATTTTTAACCGCATTGGCCAGAAGAGGCAAGGACCTCGGATACCTCATTCATTCACCCCGCCAAGGGGGAGATCCTTTGCTACACCTTCACCCACCATATAAATCCCAGCTCCCCTTAACCCTGCCAGTGGAGGGAACATTAAGCAATTGACCCATTTGGAGAACACACAATCCCGGCTGACAACTAATAATGCAATCGAGGTGCCGACACTCTAGTCCCTCTATACCCTCACTCCTCAGCCTTCTGGCTTACAGTGTTTCTCTTGAAGGAAGAAAGAAAAGTCCTTTGGCATCGATTGCCAGCTGCACCATCTTCTAGGTTGCTTCTCCTCGTACTCCTCCTTGTGGCTTGGCTGCTTCCGGCTTTGTTTAGTTGTCAGTTTGGTTTCCTGGCGTGCCAAATGAAGTTATTTCTTTCCTGTCTTTCGTCTCTCTCTGTGCCCTCTGTGTGTGGCAGTTGCATTACTTGCAAATTGTTGTGTAACCATAAAAATACTTATTTCCTGGTGGGTTTTGGAGGAGGATAGCAATGGCATGTGCCGGGCTCATTCCTTACACACGACGACGACGACGACGACTGCCATTTGCAGTGCCATTACCAGGACCAGCCGCCGGGTGTTAAATGGTAAATGGTCGCCTCCGCCTTAATTACACAAGTTCCGCGTCACACTTGAGCCCCAGGGCTCTGGGACTTGGCAGGACTTTAGAGAAGAGTGAAAAAAGGACTCCAATCCCCTTCGATCTGTGGCTGAGACAACCCTTTGCTTGCACTGAGGGAAAAAGATCTCTACCTCTAAGGTTTTTGTTATCCTAGCTGAAGGGGAGTTTTGTGGCAGTGCATAGTGCTCCCTTCTCGAAGCCGGCGGAAAGCTAATCCCCCAATGGAGTCATGTGTAACCATTAGACCCTACCCTGTGTCCTGAACTTTGCCGTGGCTTAGTGTGAATTTAATTTAATTTGGAAAAGTTTGTGCTGTGCTAAAAAGTTTGCAACTTGAGTAACCTTTTGCCTTTTCTTCTCCTCTCTCTCTTATCCTCTAGGTGCGTGCCATGGAGCAGCGGCTGAGTGAGTGGCCCAAGCCGCCGCCCCAACAGCCTCAGCATTCGCACCAGCATCCGCATCAGCATTCGCATCAGCACCAGCATCCGCATCCCCACCAGTCGGTGGTGCAAGAGCAGCAGCAGCAGCAGCAGCAGCAACAGCCAGCCAGGAGTTCGCCAAGCCATCAGATCGGAGGAGGAGCACCTAGCAGCGGTTTGGGAACAGGTTCGGTTGCACCCACGGGAGCACCACCGCCCACACAGGAGGCGGAGAAGACCATCACCTCGTTGGAGATTCAGGTCGAGGAGCAGCGACAACTGCGACTCCACGACGCCCGTCAGATCGAGGCAAAGGCAGCCAAGATCAAGGAGTGGGTTAACAACAAACTCCGTGATCTCGAGGAGCAGAATCAATTGCTGCGCGAACAGAACATCAAGTGTAATCAGCAATTGGAGCTCCTGAAGAACCACATAGCCAATCAGTCGCAGCGGCACAGCATCGTTGGTCCCGTGAGGAATAGCCTAAGCTTGGACGTTCAGGATTTTGCCGGTTCTGGATCGAATCCGGAGCATCGAAGGCGTAGCGAAAGTCTAGATCCGCAAGAGATTATCGGACGACCGTTGACCAGTTCATATCCCCATCATCAGCACAGGCGCAATCTATCGATGGAGCCGCAGGAGTTGGAACGGAATCTAGTGGCAGCCGTGGATGGTTTGACCCTGGCACCGCTCTCGAGCATCTCCAGCAAGGCACCCAGCGGCGGAGGAGGTGGTGTCTCCACCGTAAATAGACCGGATAGTTCAGATACGGATACGGCTCATGATTATGCGGAGATTTATACGCCATCCTGTGAAAAGTTGCCCGCCTGGATGAAGAACAATCCAGCTCTGATGGCCAGTGGAGGTAACTCGAGCACTACCACCACCACAACCAGCGAACTGGGCGTGCCACGACCTCCAACACCACCATTGCATCGCTTCCCCAGCTGGGAGGCCAAGATCTATCAGGTGGCCAACGATGGCTTGGCCGGCACAGGCGCCGGAACAAATGCCTCGGAGAGTACAGCCAGTCAGGAGCCAGATATTCAAGAGGGAACGGGAAACACTGGAACCGGCAATCTCTCCAACGGACGGCGACATAATCATAGTCATGGATCTGCGACTGGAGATGGACATGGTACCCTGGGTAGCAGCACACCGGGCACACCGCTGCCACCATCGAGGCAGCAACAAACCGCCAGCGGCGGATTCTGTGATATATCCGTGCCCGTCTATGCCACGGTCAAGGGTCGCGCCTCCCAGATCCGTTCGATGCCCTTTACGGGTGACTCGAGCGATGACTCTAGCGATGGGGAGGATCATGCCGTGATGCTCACCCATCATTCGCACAATTCCTCGAGCACGGACAACACGGAGACATCCACATCGGGCAGTGCATCCAGTCCCTCGAAGAGCCTGAAGACATCCTCCAGTCTGAGTCCAGCGAAGCGAAGTGGTTCAGAGAGTCCCAAGAATGCCAAGGCGCGTGGTATGTATTTTGGATTGATAATTGAATTGTAATCTGTAAAAACCCCGTTTGATTCAAACCTGGCATAGCGTAGACCTGATTAGAGAATGACTCCTGTCAAAGGGGTTCTAGGAACATGTCCATGTATTATAGGCACACCAAGACTTGCTTCCCCTGCTTCACCCTGCTTCCCAACTAGAAATAGTTTCCAAATCCTGATGCCTGATCCTTGTCTTACTCAAACCCTTTTGATCCTTGACATTATGTAGCTTAATTTGGAACTGTGATTCTCTAAAAGAGTTTCAGTAACATGTGCTATACTCCAAACACTTAACTCCAACTAACATTTACTATAAAGACTTGACATTTTTATAATCCAAGATCCCTAAACATCCTAGCTCCTCAATAAAAGATCCTAGATTCCAATTCCTTACTCCCCTAACTTTATAATACCCAATGTTATCCTATTACCTTCTGGCCTCTCAGATCCTTTTCCTTGTATTGGAACCACTCCTATTAAAGCTTAGATCGCATTGCCCAAAATATTTCCCCTAGCTTTCGTGTAAGGCCTGAGCTCTCCTGCATCCTAAAACCTGCATCCCGTATCCCATCTAGAATTCTCCTTCCCCTTCAAAAATAAACAAAGAAACTAATTGTTTGCTCTAACAACTTGCGATTCTAACCACTTTTGTCCATCAAATCAACCATCTCCGCTGGCTGAATAACCAAACAAAAAATAACCAAATAACCGCCATTAACCTGTGACCCAACCTACAGTCCAACATCACCTCCAACCACGCACCACCACAACCACACATTCCAACAACCACATCAGCCAGCATCTCCAACCGCATCACCACCACCAACACCACACTCTGCCCCACCAGAACCACTACAATCACAGTCAACAGCAACACCACCAACAGCACTTGGGGATCTCAACTCTAACTCCGACTGGATGTGGCCAGAACACGTTGCCACGACCAAGTCCTCGAACGCCAACGAGGCGCAGCCACGCCCCCAGTCCCACTATCCATGCCAACGCCCATGCCAACCCCTCCCCACTCCAGCACATGCGTGGCACAGTAATTTCAGATCTCTCCTTTGAATCAGGCCTCTCAGATGACTACGCCCTGCCCCCCGATGCCGTATCGGAGTCCACGTGCATGGATGCCTCAATGCCATCGCTCCTAATGCGTCAGTCCTATGTGGACTCACCAAGCAAGAAGATCGAGTCGCTGGAGAAGGTGAGTGTGCCACAAGTCCTTAAGGAAGCCACATTTTACAACAATCACTTTTCTTCCAGATGGGTCACCTGGCCAAGCTCGGTGGCAAGCTAAAGACATGGCGCAAACGGTGGTTCGTTCTTAAGAATGGATCCCTTAACTACTGGAAGAGCCAGCATGATGTGCAGCGAAAGCCACAGGGACAGATTCAGTTGGATGAGGCCTGTCGCATTAACCGGGCGGAGGGTGCCTCCACATTCGAGATAGACACGGGCAAGAAGGTCTACTACCTCACCGCAGACTCGCATGCCACCATGGATGATTGGATACGGGTGCTGCAGAATGTGCAGCGAAGGAATGCCACCAAGCTGTTGCTGAGTCGTGACGATCAGAAGCCCACGGTTCAGGGTTGGGTGACCAAGGTCAAGAATGGTCATCCCAAGAAGTGCTGGTGTGTACTTCTGGGCAAGATGTTCCTCTACTTCAAGGCCCCCGCCGAAACGGTGAGTTTGTTAATGATGAATCTGACATAGACCTTGAATTCTGAATGATTGTTTCTTCCAGAATCCTTTGGGTCAGATAAATATGCGAGATGCTCGGGTTGAGGAAGTGGAACATGTCTCCGACTCAGATTCTGAGGAGCGCGAGGATGCTGCCCAAGATCAGGCACGACTCACAGTGGCCATCTATCCAGCGCATCAGGGACCTACCTACTTGATCCTGTCTGGCAAACCCGAGCGAGACAATTGGCTGTATCATCTGACAGTGGTTTCTGGTGGCGGACCCAGCGCTGGCACTCAGTACGAGCAGCTTGTCCAGAAGCTCATGGAGACTGATGGTGATCCTAGTGAGTTTTTACTTTCATTCAGTTAGAAACCAAAGTTAACCGCTTTCAAATCTCCTTACAAAAATTATAGACTGCGTCCTGTGGCGTCATCCCATACTGTTGCACACCAAAGACACCATCACGGCCCCGCTCTCGTCCATGCACACGGAAACTATGCAGCCAGAGGCCATTAAGCTCTTCAAGGTGAGTAGGATTAAGATGAAATCTAAGAAAGAATTTTGATAATTACTTATCCCAACTCCTCCACAGAGCATCCAGCTTTTCATGTCGGTGGCAGTCAACCAGCCGGGCATTGACTATCATGTGGTGCTCGCCCAGAACGCCCTGCAGCATGCCTTGGATATGCCCGAGCTGCAGACGGAGATGATCTGCATTCTGATCAAGCAGACCTCCCGGCACATGGGCCAGAAGCTCAGTGTCGGCGTCCAGGTAAACAAGAAGCTGGGCAAGCAAACGCGCGTAAGTTTTTCAGTTGCAAAGCTTCTTATGTGTCCCCCAAAAAAGAAAAGAAACCCCCTAAAATCCCTAACCTGCATCCCCTGAAAAATGTTTAGTTGAATGTCCTTGATTTTTGATGTAGAACTCTGAATTCCCCCTTAATTCCCACTAACAAATTGCAAGAAGCCCGAAAAAGAAAAGGGTCTCGATGAAGATGGGTCTCAATAGGTATTGTTTCTTTTGCGATCATATATGGCCAGCCCAGAAAAGAGAGCTTTGCTTTAAGGAACAAGCTTACGAACGCTTTATACGCATAATATCATAACCAAAACTAATCGAATAGTAATATCACATATATAACATATATACCCAAGACACTGCCTCAACTAATCTATATGCATGTTTATCTATGTTAACCCCAACTAATTGTTAATTTTATTGAGTTTCTATTGAGTTCACTTTTGTAGCGAACAGACAACAAATTTCCCCCATAACTGTCAGACATATATATATTATATTCTGTATGTACATATAGCTTTCAATACATCAGTGTATAACTCTATGTGTATCTCTACTATATATTGTAACAATCATCAAAAGCGAAAATCAATCAAAAAAAAAAAACAATTTCATTGTATAAAGTAATTGCTGTAAATTTATCAAACCACATGAACCACTCAGAACCACAACTACTAGAATCACTCAACCACTGAACCACCGATCTCAAACACACCATAACACACCACAGTTACGCAGCAGCCGCAATTATTTTTCAAATAGATTAAATCCTTAGCAACACTATTTTTTGATCAACTTATAGTGTTTGCTTTGGGTTTATTTTCTTTTCCTTGTTATTTTTCAACTTTTCTAGAGGTTTTTCCATTGTTTTTTTGCCGCTTTCTCATGATTATGTTTATAATTAATTCGCTTTGAATGTGCGCTATTTAAATCCTCTTTGTGTCTCGTTAATCTGTTAATCGTTTTCGCATCACGCTTTTTTAACGAACCTTAACGAAGCGTCTGACGTTACACAACACTGCCAAAACAAACAACAACAAACATTAGACACTGCAAAAAAAAATTAAAATACAATTCAAGCAAATTAATGATGAGTGAAAATTGATCAAAAACTGTTCTCTCTGGCTTCTTCTCTTCTCCTCCATACTTTTGTTGCGTTACGTTGCGTTTCGAAATATGTGTGTGTTCGTGTGTAACCGAATCGTTGACCGTTTTCCAACACTGTACGAACGACCAAACGACCAACCAACCAACCAATTCCCGCGATATGAAATTTACAGCAACTACTGTTGTGCGCCACCCAAAGCCTGTTCACCTGTGATACCCAACAGGCTGGCCACGCCCAAGCCAACGGCAGTTCGCCCACCTCCATACAGGTATGCGGGGAAATTTATGGTCTCATCACTAACTCTCTCTCTTACTTTCACCCAAACCCAACCCAACCCAACTCAACTCAACTCAACTCAACTCAAACCAAAACCCACCAACTCACCTCTCAACACACTATCTCTTTTCCCTACCGATTGTTTGTTGTGCGAGTACAGTTGCGTTCGATTACAGTAGTCACCAATGTAAACGTAGTTACTCCTAACCTCACTAACTCTGTAAACTCTAACTCTAATTTAAACTCTAACCTTAACTGTAAGCCCCAGTTACCCAAATGATCTTGAATTGAAACCCAAACTAACCTCTGGCCGATCCTTTGAATCGATCCGCATTCGTAGGCTCCAGCTGCCACGCCCATTATTGACTGCAAGAGCAACCCGCCTGCGTACAGCTTTGTCCAAGGCTGGCAGCTCCTGGCCCTGGCCGTCTCCCTCTTTGTTCCCCGCTCGAGCCGCCTGCTGTGGTACCTCAAGCTCCATTTGTCCCGGAATGCTGATACCAAGACGGAGACGGGCAAATATGCCGCCTATTGTGAGCGAGCTCTGGAGAGGACCTTGAAGAACGGTGGACGGGAAACGAAGCCCTCGAGGATGGAGGTGTTGTCAATACTGCTCAAGAATCCGTATCATCATTCATTGCCGCATGCGATACCAGTTCATATGATGAACACCACGTACCAGGTGAGTTATCTACACTGCTAACAATTCTTACTTGAAGTCTTAACTTGTTTATCTCCTCCCCCAGGTTGTCTCCTTTGACGGCTCCACCACCATTGAGGAGTTCCAGGCCACCCTTGCCCATGAGCTGGGCACGAGAGATGCAACCAATGGCTTCTGCCTGTTTAGCGACGATCCTATCGAGAAGGACCTAGAGCACTATCTGGAACCTTTGGCCAAACTGTGCGATGTGATCAGCAAGTGGGAGACGGCGCTGCGCGAGAAGGGTTCCGGCAAGTTCGAGAACTCGCGTGTGATCCAACTGAGCTACAAGAATCGGTTGTACTGGAAGCATACCATCAAGTGCGAGACGGACAAGGAGCGGCTGCTGCTGTGCTATCAAACCAACTCGCAGATCGTGCAGGGTCGATTCCCCTTGTCCAGGGAACTGGCACTGGAGCTGGCCTCGCTGATGTCGCAGATCGATATGGGCGACTACTCGCTGGAGAAGTCACGGGATGTGGGAGTGGGCCTAAAAGGCCTAGATAAATTCTATCCGTATCGCTACAGGGATGCCCTGGGAGCCGAGCAACTGAAGGATGTCCAGGAGCTCCTTGTGTCCAAGTGGATGCTGCTCAAGGGCCGTTCTACTTTGGACTGTGTACGCATTTATCTCACCTGCTGCCGGAAGTGGCCGTATTTCGGAGCCTGTCTGTTCCAGGCCAAGCCCAGGCAGAGTGAGTCCAACAGCGCCGTCACGGGAGGTGGAACCACCACCACAACTACGCCAGTGGCTTGGCTGGCAGTGGCCGAGGATGCTTTGAATGTGCTTGAGCTCTCAACGATGGCCCCGGTGGCCCGGTATCCCTATAGCTCGGTCATGACCTTTGGCGGCTGTCAGGATGACTTCATGCTGGTCGTCTCCCATGACGATGGCGGTGGCTGTGAGCAGAAGCTACTGTTTGCGATGAGCAAGCCCAAAATCTTGGAGATTACGCTGCTGATAGCGGACTACATGAATGCCTTGGGTCACACGGTGCCAGGGACGCCGCAAATGAATTCTTTGACCCGCAACGGATCACATCGCTCGCTGAGGACCTCCCAGCGTCCGACCACAGGCGGTGGCGGTGGTGGTGGCTCGGCAGCGGCCACTGGATTCTCCACAAATGCCACCACAACGGCCCACAATACGCTCAATTCGCATGCCACGCACACGCTCAACTCGAACCATTCGCATACCCTGAGCAGTTCCCATCATGCCGGCGGAGGCAGTCAACCGGGCACCCTGAGCTCGGGTCACCATCAGCACCATCATCATCAGCAGCATCACCAGCCGGATATACTCAAGAGCACGCCCGATCACCAGAGGATTAAGTAAAGGAAATGATGGATGAAAAGATCACACACACACTGTACATAAATCGAGGATCATAGCTAGAGCCCAGACATATACGACTAAACGGATACATATGCACCAGCCCCTAGCGGCAACAAATATACACCTAAAGGTAGAAAGATATATATATATATATAAATATAGGAAGTTTCAAAGGATAGGGGATAGAACGATAAAGGATAGAAGATAGCAGTAACGAAGGATGAAAGGATAGTTGGATAGTCGGTTAGCGTTAAGCGGCCTGGGATGGACCTTCTTCTCCCATGCGCACCATCACTCACTAAAGTTCTTTCCTAAGCTAACTAAACCTAAAGTGTAAAACATCAGCAGCAAGCATACATACATATATATATAAATATTATATATATTAAATATTTTTTTTAATAGTCCTAAGTACCCCAAAATGTATGAGGTATTCGAAAACGAATTGTAAACAGATCTTGAATCTCAACATTTTAGATTGTTCTCGTCTTGTTTTTTTTTTTGCATTTCTTTTTTTTTATATAGAATTTCACCATGTAGAAAACGATACTATATATAGTATATATATTTGCGAGTGTTCTTGCTCTTCGATATGCTTTGTAATGAATCTCAATTTGTAAGTGTCCCTCCATGCGCAATACTGCCTTTTGAATTTTGTAGATGTCGGAGCCAAGAACGAGACGTAAATGAAGCTAAAGCCAAAAAAAAGAAAGGAAGAATATAAATTAAAAACTAAAATCAAGCAAACTAAAGTACTAGCATTAGCAGAAACAAAACCACATATTTTGTAAAGGATTTTTCAAAGCAGAAAAAAAGCATCGCCATCGACGCCCAGTTTTTTATCCCCCTTTTTCCTATGGTTTCCCCCGGCTTTAATCTAAGCAGCAATTTTTATATAGACCACAAGTAGTACATATATGTATAAATATTTAATTTTTTAACGCGTTTTTAGCCAGTTTCTCAATGTGTAACCAAGCAAACGTCACCCACTCACCTCTCAGAGCTTCAGCAGAAAAGCAAGGAAAGCCTAGAAATTAGTCAACAAAATGTAGCAAACGAAACGAAATGAATTAATTATTTCCAGTTCCCCTTAATTTTTTACACTGACCCCCACTCAGAAGCATATTCAGACATATATATATATATATAGATGATACATAGAGAGCGTATACATGTATTCGGATTCGATATTTAACAAAATTATACACACAAAATGAACGATATTAACGATATTACAACAACAAGTGTAAATGGTAACAGCGCATTTTTTTCCTAATTGTAACGATTTGATATTACAAATTTATATGCGTCGAGACGCAACGAACGACGAGAGAATCTCATTGGGAAGAATCGAAAATCGTATATAGCAAGCTTGCAGCAAGATGATATATATATATATATGAACTATATAGGCGAATGTATCACATCTCACACTCCAGTGAAACGAAATATATATATACTATATATATATATATATAAAGGGAAATTAACAATTAAAACTAAAAATCAAAAACTGTGATGTCTTTTTTATTTGGAAAGAGGCAAGCGAAGGGACTCAATACTGGTTTACTTCGTCAGTCGAAACTCGTTGGTTGGTTACTCGGTGTTTTTGTCTTTTTATTAAACAATGTAAATTGATTTATTTGCCTTAATTTTATTCATATAAATTGCCTAAAACTGATCATTCCCTTTCGTTTTCTTTGCTATGTTTATTTTATGTGTTTTTCTTTTGTTTTATATCAATCACCCATCGAACAGATCGCTCCATAGCGATTCCGATTACAATCTAAACATGTACACGCACACACTTTTACGGATCATTTTTTGCATTTATAATTTACAATCTTTTAAAATTTAATTTAATTTTGTATGTCATTGCAGGCTCAAAGGTTGCAGCTTGAAATTTAACTAAAAAAGTAATCAAAACAATTAAGTCAGAAAAACCTGCACAAAGATTTGGGTAAACATAAAGCTTGTTGAGAAATAAGAGTAGAAAAAGAAATGAGCAAGGGCGAGGAGACCAGGGCTCCGTGCTTAATAGTTAATGGAATCCCAGACCGGAAACACAACAAAAATGTAAGTAAAGTTTAGAAATTAAATAAGCCTCGGAAGCAGTGCGCGTGTCAGAAGTGTGTTTTGCTCCTAAGTTTTCTTCGCTTTTCCATGTCTGCCTATGAATTAAACATATATATATATGCGTGTGTGTGTGTGTGTGTGTGTGTGTGTTGGGGTGTACATGTGTACAGGTGTACTGGCGGCTCTCCAAATGTCTTGCCGCCTTCCGTCTATGACGTCGACGTCCGACATGCACCGCTCCGAGTGGCACACTAGTGGAGCGTGGAGCTGCCGGCGAATATTACAGAACCCAGAAGTACATGATGAACACGATGAACAGTATGCCCACGACGGCTGCCTTCACGTACATGGATTTACGGTTGAGCAGCTTGGCGTCCTTCTTGTACTTCTGCGACATCATCGATAGGTTCTGGGTCTTTGTGTCGAGCTCTGAAAACGGGAAACAGATAAGATATGGGTTGGGATGAGGCCACCGCCTGAGGTGCTAGTTACCCGCCAGCACTGTGCCGCGCTGGAGCACATCGTCAATGTTCTGCACCATGATTCGCTGCACATCCTGCAGCTGTGTGTTAATGTTACTGATGTTGCGCCTGCGGTCGGTCAGCTGCTTTTTCGCCTTCTGTATGTACACGTCGAATTCAATGAAGGCGTATGGCCGCGTCACCGAATTGACACGCCTGCCATAGTTGGCATGGAACTCCTGGGCCAGATCTTCCAGATAATTGAAGGCCAGTCGCTTCGAGTACATCTTGTCCACCATTACCAGGTAGCAGACATCGTTCTCAATAAGGTAGCTGGATGGGACAGAGTGGGGCATTATTGCATCATTTTAATTGGAGCACCATAAGCATAATGAGTTTCGTTCAGATCTTATCAACTGACGCCAGTCAAGTCGAACGACTGCACCTTGGCACCCTTCCCTTGGGGGAGGAGCGGGCACTACTTACTGGAATAGGTAGGGTCCGGTTTCGATGCTGCTGCGAGCTGGCGAATGCGTGCCCAGCTTTCGGAAGAGCATCTTGGCCTGGTTCTGATAGTCCAATATGCTGCGACCGCTCTGCCAGAGAAAGTGAAAGTGGTTGGGTTAATGCTGCTGTTGCCGCAAACAATGCACGCGAGGCGAAAGTGGCTACCTGCTCGTCATCCTGCATGGTCCCCACCAGCGGCAGGCCGTCGATGACCCGGGCAATCATGGTTAGCAGCGCCATGGCTTCGCTTGTGTCTGGTTACGAGGTTTCTCCGTGGAACTCGCTCGCTGTCGCGCTGGCCACGGCTACAATTCGCCGCCGCCTCTCTCTCTCTTTGTCTCTCACACTGTATTGGGGGGATCGGACTCGATCCTCGCCTGGGCCACCAGCAGCAGCAGCTAGCTTTATATATTTCCGAATTGCCTTTGTTCGCTCTCCGCTTGACCCAAAGTTCGAGTCAGGAGTCAAAGGGCTTCTTTCGATTTTACAAGCCAGCTGATCGAGTCGTGTAGATCTGCCTCCTAGATGCTGCTCGGTTTCTCCGGGATTGCTGACTGGGTTCTGCCTCAAATCAGTTCTTGTTCCGTGTCCGTGCGTGTGGGGCACCGCTTGCGGTGAAAACTATGTTGCAACGTCGCGGGCGACGGGCGGCAGGCGGCAAGCGGGCGGTGTATTGGGGGTTTCTGGTGGATTCGTGTTTGGATTCGTTAGAAACACGTCAGCAGTGTGACCGTTGCGGGCCCGTTGAAATATACTTCCCGGCCAGGCCGCCCACCCCCATACCGCCCCTAAAATTGACCAAGTGCTTGGAAAGTTATCGATAGTCGCGCGCTCAAAAAAGATTAAATTATCAATTTATCAAAATTTATTAAAATACCAGGCGAACAGAAACCCCAGCAAGTAACAGTTGTTTCTGTGATTAATACCAAAATGCAACTGTGTGCAGGCCTTTCCAAGTAACGGTTAATTTCCAATGAAACAAACAGTATTTTCGTGACTTGCTATTCCCTTCTGCGCGTCTGTTCGGTTGGTGGAAATTGGTTCCATTTTCCTTGCCAACTCCGGTTTTCCCCATTTTCCTGGCTTCAGTTACTGATTTGAATTATTAACCAATATAAATCGGAATCTGTGGCATGCCCCAGCCATTTTCCAACTCCTGATGGCGTTGCGCAATCACCTGCACCAAATCCGCAGCCTCGCATGGAAATGGAGATGGAGGAGGAAGTGCGCCCGCACGCACGCATGTTTCAGAGATGCTTCCTCTACCGCGGACCGCCCAAAAGTCGGTGACCAAAGTGGGCACCAACTGGTTTCGCCCGCAGCTACCATCTTGGTCTGACGCGTTCCCAGCTTGTGGCCCCGAAAAAGGAAAAGTGGTTCGCCTGTGAAAACCGGCCTGAAGGCAGGGACTGGACTTGGACTTGGCAATTAAACTGTCTGGTGGTACTTAGAGGTGCGTGCGCGTTGGGGGTGACCATAGCGGTGGGCCCCTGGCCTGTCCAGAGCCAGCAAACCCGTTTGCACACTGAAAATAATACAACACAAAAAAACGTATGCATTTCCCGCAATTTACAGTTATAATCTCATCCAAGTACTTCCTATTTTGCTCCGTGTAGCAGTTCACCAAATGCGTGCGCTTCCGTTTCGCTGGACTTGGCCTCCTTCCTTCTTCCGACAGCAGCATCTGGAGGCGGAGGAGGCGGAGGGAGATATATAAGAGAGTGCTCCGCCCAGAGTCGCCACAATTCAGAGTCAGTCATGATCGGGTCAGTTGGTGCTACGCTGCTGGGCTTCCTGCTGCAGATCCTATTCGATTGGACGACCGGCCAGCAGCTGCTCCTCGCGCGTCCCCAGAGATCACTGTACGAGGCTCCACTGGAGCACCTGGAGCATCTGGAGCACCTGGCCCCGGTGCCCGCCCTGCCCCCGCTCGGCTGGAATACCGTGGGTGGCGGCCTGGGCCTGGGAGTCGGCGGGGAGTGGGCCTACAACCCCGTTGGCCTAGGTCACATGAGCAAGGATGATCTGCTAACCCTGCTGGAGGCCTGGAAGGAGGTAGAACAGGAATCGGCGACCACTACCACCACGGCTGCCCCGCGCCCAGTGGAAACGACGACCAGGCGGCCAGTTCGTCCTCTGCCGCCACTGCCTCCACCGCCACCGGCTCCGCCTCGACCAATTCCCATTCCCATTCCACTGCCGGTGCCTGCTCCTGGACCCCAGCTGCCCTCCGGCACGCCTATCACCGTCAGGCTGCCTGCATTTGTGCCCATCCGGCTGGCTGCCATGTGGACTCCTCCTGCCGGCGGTGCAGGAGCTGGAGCTGCTGCTGGCGGTGCTGCAGCTACTGCTGGTGATGAAGATTTGGACACTGACGATGCCCCTGATGACGACGCCACTCCCCGTCTCTTCCGCTTTATGCCAATGCCCATAGCTCGGGCCAGACCTCAAGCCCAGCCCCAGGCCCGGCAGCAGACCGTGGTAAGGAACACCCTGGACAGCGTGGACGTGGGCACCGCTCCGGTGAGGACTCAGGTCAGGCCGGAGGTCCAGCCCAAGATTGCAGTGCCTGCTGCTCCACCCGGTCCCAAGCCAGCTCCCTTCTTCCGGCCCAAATCTGGCCTGCCGCCGCATCTGGCCAACGCTCGCTTTGAACTGGTGCCCTCCTCGCAAATCATTGGTGACTGGCGGGAGTGATCCCGCAGAGAAGAGCAGGCGCAAGAGGTTCCACTAACCGAAGCAGGAGACTTTGTCCTGGAACAGAGGAACGAAACTCCCAAGGAGGCTTCCCTTGCACGGCTTCCCAATGCCTCCCAACAATTTATTCTAATATATTGCGTTTTTTTTTTTTTTTGTGCTCCCAAATAAAATATGCCATAGTCATAGGTTAACACATGCAAAGCTCGATTTAACTGTAAATTGTACTTAATTTAGTAGTTTTTTAAACATCGTTACAATCGATAACAAAGCGGCTCACGAAAACAGCTGCGCGATAACTATCGATAGATCAGATTGCACGGCCCCAGCAACCCTCCGCTTTCCCGCCTTTTTCTATGTCGAGGCGAGATATGTCAACTTATTAATCAGTGCGCGCCGAAAGTTATATCCGAGGAGAGAGCAGCGCACACACGCAGCCACGCCGGAAAGCGCAGCCGATCCGCAGCCAACCGCAGGAAGGCGATCCGTTCGCCATTCGTTCCGTTTGCCAGAGTGCCAGCTGGTCAGCTTCGCGCCGTGAAAAGTTCGTACCACCCCCGACCCGCGTCCGCGCCCGTGTCCGCACCGTCCCCGTCGCGTATTACCGTACCGTATTCGAGTGTCCAGTGCCACCGGCAGTGAAACAACACCAAGTGAACCACAGCAGCCACCATGAGCGGCAGCGAGGCCGCCAGCGAGCCGCAGGAGCTGGGCGCTGAGGTTGTTAGTGGTTCAGCGGCGCCGCCCGACGACAGCCAGGAGGTGGCCAAGGCCAAGTACACGAATCTGTGCCGCGAGCTCAACATGGACCGCCAGACGGAGATTGATGGCTTCGAGATGTACCTCAAGGTCTCGCAGCGCTGTTCGCTGGAGGTAAGTGGAAGTCCGTCGCTGTGGTGTTGGTTTCTGCGTGGATTAACCCCATTTCTGTTGCAGGGCGAGTCCATGCACTGGCTGTGCTGTGCCTTGTATGCAGCCTGCCGTCGCTCTAGCACGCCCACAGTCATAGGGCAAGACGCGGTGGTGCGCGGCAACTGTGTGTCCCTAAACAACCTGCTGCGCTGCTGCCAAATGAGGTTTGTTTGCATCGTTTGTGCCTGTTACGGCGCCTGCTCTACTCCCTCTCTCCCTCCCGCTCTCTTCTATGCAGCATCTACGACTTCAAGACGAAGATCAAGCAGTGGTGCGACATGGCCAACCTGCCGCAGGAGTTTGTCAACGAGATCGAGGTCCTGGACCGCAAATTTAGCATTACGTTCACGCTGTACAAGCGCTTCCGGACCATCTTTGACCTGATTTTCGTGTGTCCGCCCAACGAGAAGAAGCACTCGAAGTACATGTGAGTATCCACCTGCTCCGCGTTACCAAGAAACATGGCTAAAGGGGCATTTTCTCCCTCACAGCTCCCTGCACTCGAGCCATCCGCATGGCAAGTGCTCCTTTATCAAGCTGGACGACTTCTGCTGGCGCCTGTTCCTCTGCGCCAAGAACCAGAAGCCCAGCAACACCGTCGACCTGGTCAGCTCGTTCAACCTGATGATCTGCTGCATCGATCTGATATACAACAATGTGCTGGCCGAGAAGCGCACCGATCTCATCAACCCCAAGTTCGAGGGACTGCCGCCCAACTGGACGGAGCTGGACTTCCGCCAGAAGCAGTGCTGCATCCTGGCCCACTTCTGCGACATGACCGACGAGGCCAAGGCCATGAAGGCCACCACCTTCCGCGAGATCATGTCGAGCTTCTTTCAGGCTCCGGTGAGTTGCATTCCCTTCTTCCCTTTTGGGAAGTGTCCAGCAAACATCTAACCTGATCTCTTGCCCTCCCTAGACCATCTATGGCAACAAGGACACCATGCTGGGGCTGCTGGCCAACGAGAACTTCGAGCGCAATCTAAAGTCGCTCAATATCAGCTATGAGCAGTATGTGCTGAGCGTGGGCGAGTTCGACGAGCGCATTTTGAGCGCCTATGATGCGAGCGATCACACAAGCCTCAATGATCAGGCCCTGCGTCCGCCGGTGACACCGCTTACGCGCATGCAGGATCTGCCCGCCCAGCCGGCGATGGCCGGCGACAAATTTGAGCCCGTCCGCAATGCCACCAACAATGTAAAACAGCTGCTTGCCTTTGGGCGTATCACCGAGCCCACAGATTTCGTCAAGTGAGTCTTTCATGGAAATATTCATTTACTTTAAACAAAGAAGGGATAAACATGGTTATAGCCGGAAAAAACACATGAGAAATGGCGAAATCTGAGCCCCTGGCAACTATTGGGCCTCGCCCTAGTTCTTCATAATTGTATACATATTTCTCTGCCTTAAAAAGATCTCAACCGCTAATTATTTTATTTTTTGTTGTCTTCCTTTCTCTCCTCAAGGCAAGCCGGCGAGGAGGTGATTGCCAAGCTGCTGACCATTATCGAGGATCTAAAGCAAAAGTTTCTCGCCAAATATCCGTCAACGGAGGCGAAGAGCCGCTTCCGTTTGGCCAAGTCCTTTTACTTCTACCTGCTGGACAAGATCCTGCAGGCGGAGATGCGGAACAAGCCCGACATCGATCTCAAGCCCATGCTGGTGAAGAAAATCTCGCTGGACATCTTCAATATCACGCTGCTGGCCTGCTGCGTGGAGCTGGTACTGGAGGCCTACAAGACGGACTTCAAGTTCCCCTGGGTGCTCGATTGCTTCAGTATTAGTGCGTTCGAGTTCCAAAAGATCATCGAGATCGTGGTGCGTCACGGCTCGCACGAGGGCTGCCTGAATCGCTCGCTGATCAAGCATCTCAACTCCATTGAGGAGACGTGCCTGGAGCGTTTGGCCTGGTCCCGTAACTCGTTCGTTTGGTACCTGATCGAGTCCGCTCCGCCGCCGCTGGCCAACTCGCTGGTGGTGAATCGTGATCGCACTGCCGGCCCGCTGCAGATCTTCCTGCGCAAGGTCTATCTTCTCGGCTGGCTGCGCATCCAGAAGCTCTGCTCGGAGCTGAGTCTGTGCGAGAAGGCGCCCGAATGCATCTGGCACATCTTCGAGCACTCGATCACCCACGACACGGGCCTAATGAAGGACCGCCACCTGGATCAAATCATCATGTGTGCAATATATATCTACATTAAGGTAAGGAGTATCTCTTTTATTCCCGTAAGAGTTTCGCAGAGAGTAAATGCCATGGTATTTTGCAGGTAAAGAAAATGGAGGAGCCCAAGTTCAGCGACATTATGCGGGCGTATCGCAACCAGCCGCAGGCGGTGAACAGCGTCTACCGCGAGGTCTTCATCGTCACCCACGAGAACGGTGAGCCCAAGGTGCGCGACATTATCCACTTCTACAACAACGTGTATGTGCCGATCTTGCGCCAGTTCGCCATCGAATACCTGAATGTCGCTCCGGATGTGAGCGGCCGCACCTCGGATCTGCTCCTCTCGCCGCACCCCAAGGAGCGTGCTGCCCAGCCCAAGAAGGTCACCCAGAGTCACTCGCTGTTTGTCACTCAAATGCCCAAGAATGACATCCAGCTGCAGCAGTCGCCCAACCAGATGGTATACAGATTCTACCACAGTCCCGCCAAGGTAAGCTCCATTTGGATTTTGGGATCTTGAGGATTTAATCCTACTTTCTCTTACCTTAGGATCTGCAACTAATGAACGAGAAGGTGCGCGGCGGCAAGCGAATGCTCAGTTTTGGTGACGACGGTGTGGCGGATTCAAAGCGGGGCAAAGGGGAGCAGCGCTCGGGAGGAGGAGCAGGCGGAGGCGGAGGCGGAGGTGGAGAGCACGAGACATAGACACGGGGCATCGCGGGGGCAGCTTAGACTTAGTTTATTATCAAGGAAGGAAAGAAGTAAACCATGAAGAGAAAGGAACTTAAACTACAAAAAAGGAAAAAATAGGCCAGTGCCAGCGGAGACACCCTTCTTTAACACGCTGGCGCCCGGCGCAAGCACGACTCTTTTATGATTGTTTTTTTTTATTATTTTTTTTTTAGTTCGACATGTTAATTTAAACACAAACAAAAAACCAAGAAACCTACAACCCCTACCCAAGCGTGGCATCTCCTTTTTCTAGTTTGTTCAATGCCAGCCAACCATGTAATTCAAATGCTAACTCTACAGTTATATATGTATACAAACGTATAGAGAACATCCGATCCCAGATGCTTGCAAGGAGTTTTAGTAAATAAACACCACACACACACACACACATGTAAACACACAAACACACACACACACACATCCATCGATCGTCGGAGAGCATTGAGGCAAACCGCGGTCCCTAACAAATCAAATTAAACCCACACACATTATATATAAAGGCATATATACAAATACACTTTAAAAATTAATAATTCATTGTGTTAAATATTGAGTAATTTTTACAGACTTTGAATTGTATAAATTGTAAAGTTTAAGTATTTACAATTAAGAGTCGGTACGCTTTACATTGTAACAAGAGAGGAAGCCGAAGATGATCTTATGTCCTTGAGAAATCTTAAAATAATCGATTTCTGTACATCGATTTTTAAAGGTAATTTTATTTAATATTTTAAGTGAAAACCAAAGTTTAAAATTATCATAACTTAGCCAAAAATGTACTAATTTCGATTCAGAAAACGTTGCTGTGCTAGTTTCGATTAGCTTAACAAATAAGCAAACTTAATTTTTAACTTTGAAATGTAAATTTTTTTTCGATTTTTTGAAAATTTAATGATGTAACCCCTTGTAAAATTTTCAAAAAATTGAAAAAATTTGATTTGTCCCAAAACTTTGGTAAATCGATTTGCCTGATCATTCTGATCAAGAATATATATGGTTTATAGGGTCAGAAATGGCTCCTTTACCTGTAATAGCCTTCGAAACCCAACCAAAATCTATGAAAAATCTATAATTAATTAAAAATTCTTTTTATTTCAGTGTAAATGTGCTGTAAATCGAGATGGAAAAACCTGCTTCGCCTAGGGATCCAGCCGGAGTGTGCCAACAATGAAGCCCAAGGCGGAACGTTGCTGTGGAATCGTTGCATCCGCCTGCAGGCGCTGCTCCAGGAGCGGGCTGCAGGTGAAGAGAGGCGCCGACTGCTCTGGAACAATGCGGAATGCCACCCGGCGCCAGGTGCCTCGCACCTCGTCCAGTCGATCCTCCTCGAGAGCCTCACGCATCGCCGGCAGATCCGAGGCCTTGGCCAGCATCAGCAGGTGAGCCATTGCCAAACATAGCTGCTGTTGCAGCGCATCCCGGTGGTTGTACTCCTCAAAATTGTCCAGGGCATTGGAGCGCTCCAGTGCGTCCAATAGCGAACGCCATACCAACGGAAAGTGGCTCCCAAAATCCTGGCGCATCTCCACCTGCAGCAGCACTCCGGTGGCATTAATGCGCACCTTGAAGTTGGCATGCTGCACCACCAGCTGGCTGAGAGCCGGGAACAGGATGCCCGCCAGGTGATTCGTCGCAAAGAAGGCCCTGTGCTTCACCAGATTTCCGATGGCATGGCAGGCGTTCCACTTCACCTTGGCACTGCCCGCGGACCGCACACAGTCCAGGAGCTTGGACATGGCCAGCTGCATGGATTCGGTATTCTCGGAGGCCTGCTGCTGCTGGAGGATCTGCAGGAGATTGCCCAGGGAGCGGACGGCATTGGCCTTGACCTTGTCGTGATCGGCGCAGCTCTGCGTGGCCGCTTGGATGAGGCGGCCAAGGAGCTCCTCAGAAACCCGCTCCGAATGATTGGGAATGGCTGCGATGAGGGCATCACTGATATTGCCCAGCGCCCAGGCGGCCTTAATCCTCACCGCCAGCTGGGAATCGTTGATGATACGAAGCGTCAGCTCCGCTGCATTCTCCACAAAGACCAGATCTGCCTTCAGAGTGGGATGGAGCACGTAGACGGCGAGAGCCCGCAGAGCTGCAGCCCTGACCAGCGGCTCCTCACCATCGTCGCTGGCACAGCCACTGAGGAAGGCCAAGAGAGCATTCCGCTGGCCAGGAGGCAGCCGCTCGAAGCTGAAGCTACCCATATTGGACAGAGCATCGCACAGGGCGCACTTCAGGGAAGCTCCAGCCGCATCATTATACGCTCCATAGATGCCAGGCAGCAGGCTGAGCCAGAAGGACAATTGCATCTCCCTCTCTGGCGGCTCTGGAAGCAGGCGTCCCAGCTGGTAGCCAACGGAATCCAGGCAACGAGCCGCGTAGAGCCTCACATCAGCTGTGACGTCCCTCAATCCGGCAAGCAGAACCCTCGCCAGGCGCGCCTGATGGCCACGGAGAAGGCCCACGTGGGTTGCCATGGCCAGCAGAACCTGGAAGCATTCCACACGCATCGGAGGCCCAGTCCCTAAGCTCTCCAGCTGCCTCAGGACCTGCCGCAGCAGCCAGGAGTTCCGTGGAATGGGTGGAGCAACCAGCTGGATAGGATTCGCCTCTGCCTTCTGCTGCGCCGGCTGCTGCTCCGCCTCCTCCTCCAGTTCCAGCTCCGCATCCGAATCGCAGAGCTCAAGGAATTCCGGCTGATCCGACTGCAGCTCCTCCAGCTTGAGATCCCGCTGGCTCGGAGCGAGACCAATGGCGCTGGCCATCTCTGGCGTTAGCTTCGGCGTGGCCACCAGCATTTCCATGACCAACAATGCCGAGACGGCCACCGGAGATTCCGCGTTTTTGATCAGCTTCTTCACGTGGCCGACGAACTCGTAGACGAAGCCCATCTCCAGCTGCTCGAAGGGTGTGGCCTGCACCAGAACGGCCAGGCACTTGAGGCACTGTGTGAGCACTGGAGGCGCATATTCCTTCTCCAGGATGGAGCACAGCGAGCGATAGGCCGAGAGGACGCTGCTGGCCAGGCTCACGGCGAAAGGCGTGTAGTTGCTGGGCCCCCGGGAGCAGGCCTGACTGAGGTAGCCCTTGGATCCGTACAGCAGCTGGGCGGCCAGTTGCAAGGCCAGAGCGCGGCAGCGGGAGTTGCCGTCCGTTTGGCCCACGAGGAGCAGGTGACCCCCGCCGCCAGAGTCGGCGCTGGGAAACAGGACGTGCCAGTAGCCGTAGAGCGTGCGGCGAGGGAGTTGCTTGGTCAGAGCACCCAGCAGTTGCAGCGCAGAGATCCGCACCTTGGCCTGGAGCTGTCGGAGCTGCTTGGGTCCCGGCAACTGATCCGAATCGGAGGGAGGACAGTTCTCGCCAGAGTCACCCGTGAGGCAGCCATAGTCCAGGTTCCCCATCAGCAGTAGGCGGTCCCGGGGAGCACTCTCCGCCAGCAGGGAATCGCTGACGTGGTTGTTGCTGCTTTGGTTCCGCTGCTTGGCCAACGATCTCATCTTCCGCACCTTGTTCCTGCGACCGCCCGAGCGTCCCTTGCTGCCCCCGGCGTTCTGCTGCTCCGATTCCAGGGATTCCTCCTCGTGACCATAGGCGGCGGATTGCTGGGCAGGCTGCACCTTCCGTGGCAGCTGCGACTTGGCAGACGCCTCCCCTTCCGCCCCATATTGCACGTAGCAGTGGGCTATGCCCATCAGTTCGGGCACATGCTGGGCCGCATAGTCCGGTTGCCTGGTCACCAGTTTCTGGAGCAGCTGCAAGCTATGGGCAATTATCAGGGGCAGCTGCTCCTGCTCCTTGGCATCCAGCCAACGGCCCTCGAAGTGGCACTGAACGAGGGAATCGGCAGCGTAGCGGCTGGGACTGCCCTCCGCTTCTTCGGGCTGCTCCAGGTCGGAGAGCACTGCTTCCTGGCACTTGATGAGCAGCAGAGCTGCTTTCACATCCGTGGAGTGGGACAACATGGCCAATGCTGGCCAGTATCCGGGCAGGCGTTCCTTAGGCACCGTTTTCAGCAGCGACAGCAGCAAATTCAGTTCCTCCGTCAGCTTCTCCCGCTGGCCGCCGCCCATTAGCCACTCTACCAGCAGGTGTGACCTCACCAGAATCACTCGTCTGGCCAGGATGAGCTCGCTTAGCCACAGCTGCCAGTTCCGCAACAAGCCGTGGTCTCCTCTCGCTCGCACCTCCTCGAACAGCTGTCGCAGCCGTTCGCCCGGCACGCCCACAGGTGTGCCCCTTGGCTGCCACAGCTCCTGAAGTATCTGCAGATGCCGCTGGCGTGTCGCCTCATCCTGTTTGGCTGCAGATTCAGCGTCCAAAAGCCTCCGCCGGAGAGCGTCATGCATCTCCCTGTCCTTGTCCATCGTATGCAGCTCAAAAAAGATATAAAAAGCTAAATAATTGTGATGGGAACTAAATTATTGTATTTTTTAGGGATTTACGCTAGAGGTGAGTAAACATCAATAAGTCGACGATTGGAGATATCGATATTCTATAAAGACTATCGATGATTTTGCAGGGAATTCTAGCTAGAATTAAAGCTAGATTTTAAAATAGCGTTAATTTCTTGCTTATTAAATTAGCCGACAAATTTGTATTATAATTAAATAAAACAATACATTTTTAACATGTAATTTTAATTGGAGTTTAAATGGGCAATAAATTTCGGTCATGCTTGCGGAATTTTCGCCCAACAGTGCAAAATAGCTAAATGATCAATTTTCGCATCTCTAAAAAATTGTTGTTGTTGTTGTAAAAAAAAGTTGTTTTTGTTGTTGTAAAAAGTTGTTGTTGTTGTAAAATAGTTGTTGTTGTTGTTGTAGGCCATATCCAGGTTGTTGTTGTTGTTGTAGGCAACGGCCAGGCTCGAATCGCGGCGTTTCAGTACAAAATCGGATCTGGGATACCAGGCGAACAGAAATCAGCAGCAAGCGAACGTGACTTCATCGATCTGGCAACCCTATGTCATGACGTCAGTCATTTAGCCAGTCTGGCAACGCTCGGGACGACGATCGATAACGGTTGGTTTGTGTCTTGGCTATAAAATTAATCGGCCGGTGATAGGTTTGTGTCTAGGCTAATGTAAACAAACTGCCTGCGTTGCCAGACTGACTAAATGACTGACGTCATGGCGTAGGGTTGCCAGATCGATGAAGTCGCGTTCGCTTGCTGCTGATTTCTGTTCGCCTGGTATCTCAGATGGGAAAACGTGGAATTTTAAGCCGATTTGAGGGAACTCGGAAAGGAAACGTGTTGTTGTTGTTGTAAATATGTTATTGCAGTTGTTGTACAACAATTTGGTTGTTGTTGTTTTAAAAATTAACCCTCGTGCAAAAGCCATCTACTGGGCGATTTAAGCACCAGCCCGGCCTAATAAAGTAAAGTCCACGTTTCTAGTTGTTTATTTTGCTTAATCGGGATCACACAGTTGGTTTTTAATTAATATTCTTATTCCAGGGTTGTGCTATTCTTGTTTTTTCCACACGGAAATAAATAGGTTTTTGGAATACAAAATATATATATACATATACATATATGTAGCTTCTGCTTGAACATCAGTAAATGCAATACTTGTTTTAAATTTAAATCTTATAAAAAAAAACTTGAATATATTATTTAGTTTTTTTTGGTGTTGCACTTAACTCACTGTCAATGGGATTTACTTGTTGACCTTGTAAAATAGATATGTTTTTGGCCATAACAAAAGTAGGAGCGCATATTGCAGGTGTGGGCCTGTGTGTGCGTTGACAGTGCCTTTGTGGGCGTGTGTTTTGGAGTGGGGGTTGGGTAAAGGCGGCGATAAAGGCGGCTAACGTAGACAGTTGGCTTCGGCCGAAGGCTGCTCTCCACGCCGTGTCCAAGAAGCGTACATCTATAATCTCCCCAGCTTGAATGGTGGGCGGATCGGTTTGGTTCGGTTCGAATCACATCGGTTTAGAGGAAGTACGGCGTCGTGTTCTGCTTAGGTATCACCCGCTCCGCATCCGGCACCGCCAGAAAGATCTTCGCCTGTCGCTGTTTCGCCGTATCGAAGCTGAGAATTGCGGCCACGTTGCCGCATCGATAGCAGTAGTTGGGTGCCGACCACACGGTCACCAGCTTGCCCTCGAACATGTGCTTGATGCCCTCGTTGACTAGCTGATGCGCCCGACAGATCAGGTCCAGGTTATTGATCGTCATAAAGTCCTTGGTCACATTATGACCGAACAGCCAGCCAGCGCCACGTGGACTCTGGCCCCAGAACTCCATGTCCTCGGGATCGGACCACACTAGATCGCAGAATGCACCCTTGTAGGGTATTTCGCCGTTCCTCTCGATTGTCCGGATCTGGTCAAGAGTGATGATCTCGGGACTCAGTCCGCCGTGAACGCACAGAACCTCCTCGTCGATGATCTGCGGAGAGGTAATATAGTAAATAGAAGCAATTGCATTTTATGATTAGAGGAAGAACGACATACGGCGGCTATGGTGAGCAGATCAAACACCTTGCAGCAATACTTCCAGCCATTGGCATTTCCATACTTGCTGAAGCACTCGTCGAAGAAGCCATAGACCTTGGTGATCTGCCGCGTCTCGTGGTTGCCGCGCAGTAGCGTTATCCGATTGGGGTAGCGCGCCTTGAGCGTCAGCAGGCGGGTGAATGTTTCCAGTGAGTAGTAGCCGCGGTCCACAAAGTCGCCCATGAATATGTAGTTTGTGTCCGGCACCTGGCCGCCCGTCCGGAATAGCTGCTCCAGGTCATAGAACTGGAACGGAAGCAGTGGGTTATTAGTGCAGGCTCGATCATGTTTCGTCGCGTGCACTCACCTGGCCATGGATATCGCCGCAGACGGTGACGGGCGTGCTCACGGGCAGAATGTTTGACTCCTCCAGCAGTATGTCGCACACCATCTCGCACAGATTCTTCAGCTCATTCTCCGGCAGGTACTTGCACTCTTTCACCGTCTCGATCCACTTGTCCACATCGCCCATTTCTTAGTTTTTCCTTTTTCAAAGAAATTATTTGCGAAATCATCCGTGTTGATTTCGCTTCCAGTGTGTCCGTGCCGCGATAGCTTAGAAAATACCAAGCACGGCGACTTGTCGATAACACTTATTTTTAGTATTTTTCATAATTATAGCATAGACCAGTTTCAAACCACTGTTATACACGGACAGTGTGTACACATCAGCTAATCAGCAGGGTGTGTACACACTGGCTGTTATCGATAGTTTTCCGCCAAAGCGCGATTGCAATTCAAATTTAAATTTGGCAGATCCGAGGCCTTGGTCAGCATCAGCAGGTGAGCCATTGCCAAACATAGCTGCTGTTGCAGCGCATCCCGGTGGTTGTACTCCTCAAAATTGTCCAGGGCATTGGAGTGCTCCAGTGCGTCCAGTTGCGAACGCCATACCAACGGAAAGAGGCTCCCAAAATCCTGGCGCATCTCCACCTGCAGCAGCACTCCGGTGGCATTAATGCGCACCACCACCTGGCTGAGAGCCGGGAACAGGATGCCCGCCAGGTGATTCGTCGCAAAGAAGGCCCTGTGCTTCACCAGATTTCCGATGGCATGGCAGGCGTTCCACTTCACCTTGGCACTGCCCGCGGACCGCACACAGTCCAGGAGCTTGGACATGGCCAGCTGCATGGATTCGGTATTCTCGGAGGCCTGCTGCTGCTGGAGGATCTGCAGGAGATTGATCAGGGAGCGGACGGCATTGGCCTTGACCTTGTCGTGATCGGCGCAATAGCCGCCCGTCCGGAATAGCTACTCCAGGTCATAGAACTGGAACGGAAGCAGTGAGTTATTAGTGCAGGCTCAACCATGTTTCGTCGCGTGCACTCACCTGGCCATGGATATCGCCGCAAACGGTGACGGGCGGGCTCACGGGCAGAATGTTTGACTCCTCCAGCAGTATGTCGCACACCATCTCGGACAGATTCTTCAGCACATTCTCCGGCAGGTCTTGCACTCCGTCTCGATCCACTTGTCCACATCGCCCATTTCTTAATTTTTCCTTTTCCAAAGAAATTATTTGCGAAATCATCCGTGTTGATTTCGCTTCCAGTGTGACCGTGTCGCGATAGCCTAGAAAATACCAAGCACGGCGATAACACTTATTTTTAGTATTTTTCATAATTATAGCATATACAAGTTTCAAACCACTGTTATACACGGACAGTGTGTACACATCAGCTAATCAGCAGGGTGTGTACACACTGGCTGCTATCGATAGTTTTCCGCCAAAGCGCGATTGCAATTCAAATTTAAATTTGAATTTGAATTGCATTTGCGCATTGGCGGTGTGTTTTTGCGTTGCCTTCTATTTTTAGCCATCCAAATTTAGTCGCAATTAGCTCTCTGGCCTGCCACAAATCATAATTAGTCCGCGTTGAAAGCTTTCTCTAAGCATGCCTTATATTATTTCTGTTTTTGTGCTTAACCCCTTCTACTGCGCGTATTTTTGCTTTCTCTTACTTAAAAATAATCACGCTTTTAAATTTTATTGCCAAGGCACGCTGCTAGCTTGTTGCTGTTTGTTTTGCCTGCCATTTTTCCAAGAGCGAAAGAGTGTGTTAAGGGTTATGAGAAGCGTGCTGGCATGCGTTCCGTTCCGTTTTCGTTTTCGTTTTCGGTTCGCGTTACGTGAAGGTGGTGGCAAGGGTTAATGGCCCTGCCGCCTGCGGGGGCTTGTTTAGAGTCTCATTAGCACGCTGCCATTTGATTGCTGCTTTTTTCTCTCCTTGCTGTTGTTATTGTTGTTGTTGCTGTTCTGTTTGTTCGCTTGCCTTTCAGGTGTACGCCGGCGAGCGTCTTGAAATGGAAAGTACAGGTGACAATTTCCATGCAAATGGGGAGAGCTTCAACTAAGTATTTGTGGAATACCTTTCGGTGCTGAGCAGTAGTTTTTATACCCTTGCATATAATATTATTATAATTATAGTCAGAAGCTTGTAACGATGTGAAGGAGTCATTTCCGACCCCATAAATCATATATATTCTTGATCAGAATCAACAGGCGAATCATTCTAGCCATGTCCGATCGAAAAATAAAATTTCGAAATTTTTCCCAAAATTTAAAAAAAGTTATAAGGGGTTACATTGTTAAAATTTGCAAAAATCGACAAAAATTTGAATTTTTTTTAATTTTAAATGGAGTATCCAGATTTATTAATATTATAAAAACTAACATGGGAATGCTTTCCGAATTGAAATTAATGGGTTTTTGACTTAGTTATGAACTTTTTAAACTTTGATTTATCGAAAAAATTGCCATAAGAAAACATCGTTAAGATAGATATTTTAAGCTTTGTTAGGTTCGATTTCCTATTTGATCCTATAATAAAATTGCAGACTGCAAGGGTATATAAACTACGGCTGTCGCAAATAGGTTCCTTTTATGTTTTTTCTAATAATGTACCCTATATTATTAAGCTAAAAACCGATATGGATGGGAAATCCATTGAAAAGCTGCCTGCGAGAATGCTAAATTATTGTGAATCACAAATTTGGCAACGATTTAAAGCAATTTCTATAGCTTGAAACATTAGCTATTAAATTGTTGTATAAAAATAAGTTACGAAAATAATAATAAAATATAAGAAATAGTTTCAGTTGCTTTTTCCTTACCTCTGAAATGGACTGGCCTCCGTCGATTATACATATAAATGCTCCACTCCTGCTCCTTGGCTTTATCTCTCACTCCATTCTTGGGGCGATGGCGTGCTCCATCATTAGTGCCGTTACTTTATGTCCTTCCGTTTTGTTATTCGTCCTTGTCCCCCGTCCCGTCGCCGTTCCGGTTTCGCTTCCAAATGCTGCCTGCTTTTTGTCCTTTCGCCACTTTGGTGCGTCTTTTGGCCATCTCAGTGAGTTTCTGGCTGGCCCCGCTCTCCGCAGGTCCCTTCAACGCTTTCCCTTTATCCTTCCATTGTTGCCGGCCCGAGCTGTTTGTGTCCGCCTGGCACAATGTTGACAATTAAGTTAAACTTGTTTTCTTACTTCGTTTCGTTACGTTTCGCCAATTTCGCTGTCCACGCCGGCTCCCTCTAAAAGTCAAAGTCCTGTCGTCTGCGGCTGATGTGGCTGATAATTATGTGCCCCCTGCATGGACTTCTGGACTTTTGGACAGCGGACGCAAGGACAAAGGACAGCTCTTTGGGAGCACTGAGACATGCTAAAAAAAAAAAAAAACAAAGCAAAAAGAAAGAAAACAATGCAAAGAAAAAACTCGATTAAAATCACGAATTTCAGACGCAGCAGCAGCAGCAGAACTTAATTTAATTAGAGCAAAATGTGCTTCAGAAAAATGAAATAAACTATCAACTTTTTTGGAATTTATAAAATATACAACCGGAGCGAGCAAAGCCACAGAGTTTCGCTCGAAAAGTTGCCCCAAAAAGTAGGCAAAACAATTTAAACTGTGCGCAGAGTGCAGGAGAAAATTAGCATTGGTTTTTTTAGCCATTCTTTTTAGCTGGATTTTAAGGCGGTTATTAAAGAGTTTTCCCAAGAAGAGATTTAAATTTAGAGGGAATTTTTCTAATTAATTTTAAATATAATTTAGTTTGATTTTTTTTGTCAGTGCCAGGACATTGGGTACTATGAGTAGGTGAAGCATTCTTCTTCATCGCTCCTTCTCTACTTTTTGTGCTTGTCCTTTTGGTTTCCTTTATATATAATTTTTTTTGACATTGTCTGCATGCTGGTGATTTTTAGCCGGCTTCCCTCTTGTATTTTGTTGACGTTTTGTTAACTTGTTTTTTCCTGTGCTGCTCTCTGCCTGGCCCTTGCTCTTGTCGCTTGAATTGTCGTCGAAAATTAAATAAAATTAATTACCGCGTGTGTACAAACACACACACAAAGAGATACAGAGACAGAGATAGGCAGAGATACAAGACAGTGAAGCCCCCAAAAACCACCCACCACCCACCTGCCGTGCAGCGTTCAATTCACGCGCGTGTGCCCAAGCGGCGACCTCAAGGAGGCCACAGTTGTCCCACGGAGACAGCAACATTCACATCCAGCAAAGGCAGCAAGTTGTTGCAGGAAACCGCAGTGCATGGCGGCACAAAGGATTTCCAGCTGACCAAGTTCGGAGGTCACTTTGTCATAATATTTGTCAGCTAATGAAGCGTTCAAGGCGCACTATTTGGGGTTTACATTTCGGTTTTAAATCAAATCATATGCGAAAATTAGAAATTAACTTACATTATTACATTTAAGGCAGCTTTCCTTGCGATCCTTTGGGGTATTCACTGTAGTCCGGGCGAGAGCGTGTCGACGGCATCTCCATCATCATTATCAACAGTTGCCATTCGAAAGGAGGCACACACAGCAGGCGAAATCAGGAGGAGAACTCGAAAACTGACAAACCAGGACTGGAGTCCTTGCCAGGGTCCAGAGTCGGGTGTTTCGTGTTGCTTTAAATTATCTGCTGTTGCTGCCGGCAGATCCCTCCAGTTCCCAATGAACATCCTACTATTTAGCGCTCCAGTTTTAACAGGCCTTTACACAGAAACTGAAAATATACACAGGAAAATATAATTATTTTATTGAAATGTAATATTAGCTGGAAGAAACATGAGGTCTTTTAATTGTTTCTTTGCAATTAAATTGATTTTTAAAGGAACATTTCTCCCTAGGATTTATTTACTGACTTTATTGCTAAACAAGAAAGGAAACTTATTTCGGGAAGCTTAAGTTTATATATCCTTACAGTTTTCAATTAAATGATAGGATCGTATCGGTAATTTGCATTCTTGGAATCGATAGTTATCCAGATTTATATGTGACAATTTTATCGACAAATCAAAATTTAAAAAATTCATAACTAAGTTAAAAATGCATTAATTTCAACTCTGAAAGCGCTCAAACGCTAGTTTTTATTAGTTTAACAAATCTGCATACTCAATTTAATATTTTTAGAAATCTCGATTTTGGTCGATTTTTGCAAATTTTAATGATGTAACCCCTTTCCTTTTTTTCGAAAAATGGGAAATTTCTGGAAACATTTTTTTTTGCCCGGATATAGCTAGACAGATTCGACTGTTGATGCTGATCAAGAATATATATGCTTTATAGGGTCGTAAATGACTCCTTCACTTAGTTTTAAGCTTCTGACTGAAGGTGCAATACCATTTTTTAATCGATATTAGCATTATTTTTATATGCAAATTTTGTCGACAAACCAAAATTTCAAACACTCATAACTAAGCCAAAAATGCATTAATTTCAATTCGGAAAGCGTTCCTATGTTAGTTTTTAGCAGGTTAACAAAGCTGCATACTCCATTTTTAATATGATTTTTTGACTGATTTTTGCAAATTTTAATGATGTAACCCCTTTCCTTTTTTTTTTTCAAAAAATGGAAAATTTCAGAAAAAATTTGTTTCGGCCGGATATAGCTAGAAAGATTCGCCTGTTGATGCTGATCAAGAATATATATGATTTATGGGGTCGGAAATGATTCCTTTACTTCGTTTTAAGCTTCTGACTAACATTAAAATCCCTTGAAAATTGTGTACAAATTTTAATAATTTCATTACAGCTTGGCTTATTTTCTCGCTGTGTATTTTCTGTCGAGAGCAACATCTTGCCACGTTTGCTGTCATTTTTAGGCGGGTTCGCCATGTCGTTTTGGCCACGTTTTGTCGCCCGGCCCACCACCACCCCCCAAGTCACCTCCCCATTAGCAGGAGCAGGAGCAGCACCAGCACCACCCTAATAAATCCTACCCCTCCTGGCAGCCACCCTAATTCTTTGTCTCTGTTGTGTCATTTCATGCGTTTGCCTTTGTTTTATTTATTTTAACTTTTGCGTCTCAGCCTCCCAGCCTCTTCTAGCTTCCCCTCTCTTTCGCTCATTATATTGCCATCTCTTCGTGAATTTGTTGGCGTCTTGCTCATTGTTGTTGTTTGTGTACTGGTTGTCATTACTATTACTTGCTGTTTGCCGTCGCTTCTTGTGGCCTTTTGACTTTTTAGTGCTTTGGCATTTGACTTTTTCTGCCGCCTTTCGCACCACTATCTTCCTCTATCTATCTCTCTCACTCTTTGTGTGTGTGTGAGGGTGCCTCTTCCCTCTCTTTCCTGCTCTTCCGGTTGCGGGGGGGTGAGGTTGAGGGCGTGGCAAATTGTTGTACATAGTTTGGTTCACAGCAGCGATAAAAACGAAAATAAAAGCCAAAGCGGAGAAGATAAAATTAAATAGTGACCAGGACACAACAACAAGGACTCAGTTCCTTGTGACGACCATGAAATACCGGTGAAAATTGCAAGGTTGCATTTTATTGCATACTTTCGAGAGGTATCTGAGAAATACTTTGAATATATATTAAAAAGGAAGCGAAGTGGAATATATCTCAAGTTAAGGGGACGAGTGCTTGGGTATTCTTTACTCTTAGCAACTTTAAGTATCCTTGTTTTTGTTAAAACCCTTTGGGAATCACAATGCCAAACAAAGAGTCAGTATTTTAGAGATAAGAAGACTCCGACTTGGACTTTTGCTAAACTCTGAATACTCTAACTATTCTTAAATATTCAGAAACTCCAACTAATTAAAATATATATAGTATTTCCCATAAACCCTATATACCCCTTTGCTTAATGGGTAAGTGTAGCAGGTATTAAAATGGCTAAACTCTGTTGCTAGAACGATCGGGAAGGCAGGCGTGGTCCACGTACAAAAACTAATCGTTCAATTAAGTTGCCCGCGGGCGGCGGATGGGGCGTGGCACCTTCAACATGTCCGAAACAAGCAGCCAACGCAAAAAGTTAATGAAAAACCAAAAAAAACACAACAACAACAACAACAAAACAACTAACAACCAGCTTACAGGAAAGAAAAAAGAAGAGTTTTTGGGGGGCAGATTGTATTAGAAACATACGAAAAGGTAGCAAGTGCACAGAGACAAAAGGGGGATGGGTTTTAAACAATATTATACAATTAAAGAACTCTTTTAAAAATATATATAAATTTATAATAAATATAAATACCTTTCAATTGATTTATTTATGAAAATTTAAGTAAGTTAATTAACAAATTTAACCTGAAACTCTCTCTCTCTCTCTCTGTACCCGGTGTGTGTCCTCTCTTTCTCCATTTATTTATTTCCGTCTGCCTCCCGTTTTTCGCAATACATCTGCTGTGTAATGGGGCATATCGGAGGGAAAGGGAAAAGGAAATCGGGGGGAACAGAGGGGACAGAGGAAAAGTGAAAAGCAAAGGAGTGACAAAGGGGTGACAAAAAGGGGGATGGATGCTTGGTGGCGAAAGGCCGTGAAGATGATGGCAGAAATGGCAGCTCAGGCTCTGCTCTTTAATTTCTTTTGAGCACAAAACAATTATCAATTAATGTACCGTTATGTGTGTGTGTGTGTGTGTGTATCTGTGTGTGTGTGTGTTCCTGCGTACGTGCCCTGTGTGTGTGAGAGTATATGTTTGTTTGGAAATGAAATTGTTCGAGCTTACATTGTCAAGCGCACAGGCGGCAGTCGCGTGAAAAAGGGGTAGCGAAGAATACAGGATTGTAGTTGTGTCCTGCATCCGGTTACAGTCCCCAAAAAAATATATATACAAATAAAAAATATAAACGAAACGAAAGAAAAAAAATTAAGTTTGTTTGCTTGCGCGAGCACTCCCGAGCTCCTCAGAATGTAAATATTTATTACAACGCAACGATATTGAGGGAAAAATGAAGGCAGGATAGCGCAAGGAACAAAAGGATATATGCATAAGGGATAGGAGCCAGCACTGACGTGACTTTGGTGCCTTCTCATCTTTTGTTTAAACAGTGGGGGATACGTATATGTATAAATTATAAATAGTACCCAAAATAATTGTTTGCCAATTTAATTGAAGAAAGCAAATGGCAAAAGGCTTTAATTTAATAAATTATCAAGACATTTTTGCTGAAATGCGAATCAAATTCAAGTTTAAATAAGAATGTAATTATTTTTAATAATAATTTGCTTTGTAGTTCTTTATGTTACAGTTTCTCTAATTTAATGTTTAAAAATTGATCATATTTCTAGTTGAATATTTGTAAGCCCTATTTTATGGTCAGTTTTAAATATTAGTCATTAGTACTGTCATTATCCCAATTAATGATTCTAAGCTACACAAATACATATTTAATTTACCTTTTCAGCAAAGTAAACTCATTGATTTTTCGACTAAAATCAGCAGTAATTCAGATCACAATATTTTTAGCTTCTAAAATAAACAAAAAACACTATAGTTAAGCCCCTTTTTTGGGATCCCCAGGAATTAAGTCATTAGGTTAGGTATTATGTTGGTTGGCCGCATTGCTCATACGCCATGTGAACCCAAAAGGAATATATACAAATATGTACACACGTATATCCCTAGATTGGTAAATGCAATTTGGTTCATTTCAATTTCATATGATTTTCAACCCGATATCATTTTGTTTTATTATCATCATCATCATCGGAATAATAATACAACAAAAATGGAAAGGGGCTGTAACATATCGTTGCATGTCAGAGAGCATTTTATTGCATTTGATTTCATTTTCTACATGTGCATTATCCTGCTCACACACATATGCATATCCTTTGTCGCACACACACACACACACACATGCGTTTCCATTTCATTTTCCAGTTGATGCTTTTTTTGGAGCAATGCATTTTATTTATATTTGCTTAATTTTACTCTATTTGCATTGTCTCTCTCTCTCTCTACTTTTTTTGTTTTATGTAAATGATTCTGCAATTGTTTGCCGTTGTTTTTTGTGTGCTTTTCGTTTTTTTTTCGTGTGTAGTTGTGCGGCTGCATTTGTTGTTATTGTTATTACTATTGCAATTGCTGCTATTGTAATTGTTATTGTTGCCCGGCTTGATTTGGAATTCCCTTTGAAATTGCTATCCATATATGGAGGAGTCTGTCTGACTGTCACAGGAATTGAGTTTTGCTCAGTCCCCGGGGATGTCCTGTAAATTTCCCAGGAAGTTTATGCATTTATGTCTATCCTTGGTGTCCAAGGAGTTTTTGCCTAAACAATAATTAATCAGAGTGGAAGCCAGAGGAAG